CCTGCTGAGCAAAGGGAGGATGGGAACATGTGTTGACGTGACAGAACTGTTGTTGAATTTGCCTCATGAGCTGATAGATGAATATTGCACTTCTGTGTCTTGTTGAGTAACCTGATCACTGGGATATTTACTGAATTAATAAGCTGGGTTAGCTTAATGCTATGTGTAAGGGAATAAATAGGAATGACACTAATTCAAGCAAAACCCCTTTCAGTAAGCACACAGGAGTGGTTCCTTCATACTGAATAACCATTACCCTTAAGGAAGCTGGTCAAGCTTTCTGTGCAGCCTTACTGACTTAGGCTGTTGAGGGCAAATGCATAAGTGACAAGGAGGCTTTTGGTTAGATCAAAAAGAAAAATCCCTTTTCCAGAGAACAGGAGACAGTTCAGGAACTCTTCACAGCAGGTAGTGCAGCGGTCTGAAGAAACTAGTCCCTCCTGAACTGTTTTTTGATAAAGCAAAAGTGTGTGTGTAGACTCTTAGATTTTTTTTTCAGTGCTACCGCTGTAAATGAATTTAATCTTAAACAGTACAGAAACTCTCAAATCTGTGTACACTACGCTGACTACCAGTCATGTGCTCCTGAAAAGAAGAATCGCATCTGAGATGAAGTTGGGCCCCTCTGAGACATAAAATACACAGGCCATGTACATAATTGATTGATTCTGCCTCAAATATTCAGATACCTGAATGGCAAAGGTGGTAACAGCCAGCCTTTGCTAGCTGTTTCAGCAGTGCTTCTAACGCTAATGCTGATAGAGAAATGGCAATACCAGTTTCTCTTGCTTCCTGTAGATGCTGACTGAATTGCTGCATTCTTGCTTTTTGTGCCTTTATTTTAATGCATCAAGCCAAGTGGGCTAGTACTAGATATGATGTGGGTGTTCTTCGATGTGCCAAGTTTGAAACCACTGATGATTTCCACCCCCCGCCCCATAATCATTAAGGAAAAAAGCACTGCTTGGTTTTGGAGTTGTAAGAGATTGCTGTCTTTTCCTAACTGAGCCCACCAGGCAGTCCTTCTCTCTTGTTGGTGTAGAA